AATTGGGGTTGATATTTGACTTTGTTTACACCAAGTCTGCTTTGATTTACACTAAGACAGGATGCTTCTTGCGCCTAACCAGCTTCGCTTGCTCTTTTTCGGTTCTGCTGCTCTTCTTGATCAGCATCATGAACGAGTCGAAATTCCATTTCTCAAGAGTTGATATTTGCATAACGAGCATCTTGTTGGGTGGAGCTATTTCTCTGGAACTTTTTGCAGCATGGGTGATGTTTTCTTCTGATTGGGCAATCCTTACTGCTGCACTTCATAATAATATGTTGGTACGCAAAATGTTTTGTGTCGTCTTAAAGTGCTTCCCTTGCTTTATGAATCAAAGAAAAAGATGGTCAGATCACATGGGACAATTTGATTTGCTGAAGTACTGTTGGCATCACAAGAAAAAGGACGCAAACAAATCAAGTGTTCTTCTACAAAAGAACATTAGTTGCAGTGATCTTATTGAAATGTGGCACAAATACATGTATACTAAGTTTGTAAAGGTTCCAAGTGGTCTGAAGAACATGGGTGAGGTTTTCCCTCTTCACTCATTATTGTCCTATTCTCTCGATGGCAATACCATCCAGAAATTAAGGGGACAAAGGGCACTACAGGCACGACGCCAATATGATACGCTAAAATGGAGTGTCGAATCGGACTTTGACTATAGTATCATAGTATGGCACCTTGCCACGAGTGTTTGCTACCATCATGATGATTGCCGAGGCCCTAAAGGTATCATGAAAATAGGTAAACGTGTATCAAATTACATGATGTATCTGCTGGCCATGCGTCCTGCCATGCTTCTGCCTGAGGATGGTAAGAGCTTTTGGCTTGATCATACTTATGACATGCTTAAAGAACTCTTCTTTGATGCAACTGATACAAAGGCAGCTGGTGAATTACTTTTAAAGTTGGATGATGATGATCAAGAAGCAAACCGTAAATCCAGGTTCGATGTTGTTTCTATCTTATATTCCTAGTATTAGAAATTAATTAAGTAATTTTTCTAAAACATACTCTGTATTTTTTAAGGAGATATTCAACATTGGACAGCCTGCTGAAAGATGTGAGAAAATTAACCACAAGTTTAAACGAATTAAACGAATTAGAAGATAAATGGAAGATGATAAAGGAGGTTTGGCTAGAGATGCTTCTCTATGCAGCTTTTTCAAGCAGCAACACTAGCCATGTTAAGCAGCTGGGGGAAGGCGGAGAATTCCTCTCACTTCTTTGGCTTCTTGGTGGCATGATGGTGGGAATTGTTGCTATGGGATCAGATCCTGCCGATCACAGCTCTTCACAACTAGAAATTGTTGAAATTCAGAGCGAAATAATTCAGATCGATTAATATCAGTCTGAAAACAAATTTATTCGGATCACATTTGGTATGAATATTGATTGGTATTGAAGTCACTTGTAAGTTTTTAATATTTAGACCCTAAACAGTTTGAAAATTGTTGGCGGGAATACAAGAAAACCTGCAAAACATTTTCAGACCGACTGTGGTCTGAATATTTTTAACAAAAAAAATAAATTCAAGGTAGGCGAAGGGATAGTATTTCTTTTTGTAATATTTCTGGACCAATAATGATCTGAAAAATGACAAAATAATTTCTGAAGTTATTTATGATATTGCAGATGCTTTGCCTTTTAGATATATGCAGATCAAAAATAGTCTGAAAAATTACAACTGATAAATATAATTTTTCAGACCAATTTCATTCCGGATAATTGCAGCACAAAGACAGTTGCAGCTCTCTTATGCCCCATATTTCCATTTTGAGATATATATAGAGAACAAAAGTTCTCATCATCCTTGGAGGTTATTAAATTATAGAAAGAAAAACAAAAAACTATCCTTTCTATATATTTTTTTTATGGAATTCTTTTCAATTATGTATAATTGCCAAGTCTGTAGCTTTGCGATTGGTTGCTTGGAGATCAGAAATGTTTCGAGGTAAGTCCATCTAGATAGCTTAAAATAACAAAAATTAAGAACATTTATATTATTTTTAAAATATATAAAATACTAATTAAAATAAATATTAAATATATAAAATATATTTTATATATTTTAAAATTCTAAAGGATCAAAAAAATCTACAACTATAATTGTAGACTATTATTATCAAACTAAGCGTACGTATGTGTTTTTTTTTTTAACAGCAAAAATAATATTTATTGAAAAAAGAAATACAAGAGGTACCTCAAATCCATAAACATCCCAGAAAGGCATAGATTACATAGTTGAATATCCCTGCCGCTTGGTGTCTACACCAAAACTATGTGTCAACACCACGTCCGTGTCGGCATTCTAAATACTTAGCCCTCCCGTTTGGTGTCGACACTGTGACTTCTTTACTTCCTCTTCAACCCACCTTGTATTGACTTCAAGCACAACACCGAGCTTTGTATCCAATCCGCACTAGAAAACAGAGATCCAGCCACCCTTCCACTGATCCAAAAGAATGTTCAGATCTGTACAAGGTCAAACAACCTTTCAATAGAGCTTTCTATTTTTATAAAAATTTGTTCATTTTTTGCTAACCATATAGTCCATGCGAGCCCAAACCAACTGGTTTCCCAGCCCTACCTAACCCATTTGTTTTTTGAATAGAAGACATAATGAACAAAAGCCTTCCTGCACTCATTATAACTCACGCAGCTCAGTCCCCACCATTCTTAACATTTCCACCACAATTTTACTACAAAGGGGCATTCCAAGAACAAGTGGTTGGTATCTTCCAGTGCCGCCCCGCAGAAGCCACACAAGGTTGTTGTATCATCCTTTAAAATGCCCCTTGTCTGCAAGTTTGTTTTAGTTGGTATTCTGTTCAGTAGTATCATCCAATCAAAAGCACATACCTTGTTTGGAATGTATTTTGTTCCACACTTTTCTGAATAATTTTGTATCATCCCCTCATTGTTGGTCTCTTAGCAACAAGTATCCCAACTTTGCTGTGTAAATTCCCTCCTTGGTATGCCTCCAACAACATGCATCCTGTTGCCCCCTATCTAACGTGACATTAAGCATCAAGTTAGAGAGCTATTGCAACTTTTCTTCTTCCCACCCGCGCATACTTTGTCTCCACGTCAACATCCATTGCCACATGTTGTTATGCCACTCCCCCATCTGCTGGATTTTGTTATCTTTTCCTGTAGACAAGAGAAAAAGTCTGGGGAAACAGGTAGCTAAGTTCGCCTCTCCTAACCATACATCTTTCCAAAATCTAATACCCCCTCCATCCCCTAAATTAATGTTGAAGCCCACTCCTAACCATTTCTCTCTATTTGGTAAATAGAATTTATTCTACATAAGTCCCTCCACCAGTATGAGCCCCCCTTAATCTCACCGCTCAACCATTCCAACCACCTTCCTTCTTCAACCTCGTATTTTGTATTCAGCACTCTTTTCCATAGGCCCCTTTCCTTTCCTGCCATCCTACCCCACCACTTTCCTAATAGAGCTATATTGAAAGTTCTGAGGTCCCTAACTCCTAATCCACCTTCTTCCTTAGGTTTGTATACACTATCCCACTTAACCCAACTAATTCCTCCCTTTCCCTCCTTTTTTCCCCAAAGAAAATCCCTCCGTATTTTTTCAAGTTCATTAATCACTCCTTTTGGAACCAAAAAGAAAGACACAAAGAACACTGATAGGCTGGACAGCACAGAGTTAACAAGAGTGACTCTTCCACCAAAGGACAGTAGTTTGCCTTTCCAAGATACCAATTTGTTCTTAAAACCCTGAATCAATGGCCTCCAAAATGTGAGTCTTCGGTGATTACCCCCAATTGGAATCTCAAGGTATTTAAATGGTAAAGGACCTCTTCTACAGTTAAGACTCCAAGCTGTTTTCTCCACCCATTCCTCTTCCACATTCAATGCATACAGTAGGCTTTTGTCAAAATTTATTTTCAATCCGAAAATAAGTTCAAACACTCTCATTATGCACTTTACTACCCATACATTACTATCCTCTACCCTCCCAAACATGATCATATCATCGGCAAATTGGAGGTGAGTGATTTTGATTCCTCCATTGCCAATCTTCCATCCTTTTAGCAACCCCTTCTCCTTAGCTGATGAAATGAGGCCATTTAGGCCTTCGACAATTAGCAAGAATAAAAATGGGGATAGGGGATCTCCTTGCCTCAGTCCTCTTGAGGGTGAAAATTGCTTTGTCGTGCCTCCGTTCACCAATATTGATATACTCGCTGACTGCATGCACTCTTTCATCCACTGACACCACACATGGTTAAAGCCCATTCTCCTCAGCATGTAGTCCAGAAAAGCCCAACTGACTCTATCATATGCCTTCTCAAAGTCCACTTTAAAGCAAAAGCCTTTTATCTTTTTCCTTCTTGCCTCATCCAACACTTCATTTGCCACCATCACGCAATCAACTAGTTGTCTGCCTCCCATAAACGCTGATTGTTGTTCACCAATTAAATCATCCATCACTGTCTTTAACCTGTTTGCTAGAACTTTAGAAAGCATCTTGTACATCAAGTTTATTAACAAAATGGGTCTGTACTCTTCAATCTTCTGTGGGTTGTCGACTTTAGGAATCAAAGCCAAAAACGAGGCGTTAGCTCCTTTCACAATTCTCCCTGCGTTGTGGAATTCTGAGAAATACCCCATTACATCCTCTTTCAAAGTCTCCCACATTCTCTTCCAGAAACCAAAGTTAAGGCAATCTGGTCCTGGTGCTTTAGAACTTTCACAATCCCAAATAACAGCTCTTATTTCGTCTTCTGTAAATGGAGAGCTGTGAGAGCCTCACATTGAGCTTGTGAAATTCTTCTAAAGTTCACTCCATTTAAGGGGGGTCGAACCCAATCTTCCTCAGAGAACAGCTCCTCATAAAACTCCACTATTGTGTTTTTTATTCCATTTACATCTTCGAAACGTCTCCCTTTGATTTGTATACTATTAATTTCATTTCTCCTTCTTCTCCCTTTAACGCATATGTGGAAGAATTTAGTGTTTGCATCACCCTCCTTTACCCACTGTTTCCTTGCTTTTTGTCTCCACATCATCTCTTGTAGCCTTAGATTCTTCCATAATTCCTCCTGGCAAGCGTACGTATGTGTTAACCTTACAATTTTAATTTTAATAATATTTATTTATTAATAAATTTACCTCTTGAGGTTTGGTAATCAAATTCTGTTAAATCTTCATTAGCGCGAACACCATTTGTGACACATCTGGATTGGAAAGGTAGTGAAGAAGTTTTCAGGTGCTCTATCGAAGACGCTTTTGGCGAATAAATTTGCACTCTTTACTTTTGTTCTTTTACTTTTTCCTTTTCTCTTTTTTTCTTTTTTTCTTTTTTTTTTTTTCATTTTAGTATGTGTATATATATGTTGAAGAAAAGAATGATGCTAAGTTTATAATAATATAAGGAATTACTTAAGTACTCTCAAGCCTTTTCAGTGTTTGTATTTATATACACATAAAACACAAGAATTTTCATCATCTTAGGCGATCATTAAACCATAACCAAAAAATACCTTTTTTTCCTTTGTTCTCCACACTGTGTCAAGATTAAAGATTGACAATTCATTTAGCCTTCTGGTTCATTGCTTGAAGATCAGAAATGTTGGACAGGTAAGTCCAGCTGGCTAGTTTAAAATGATACAATTTTTTTTCTTTTTCATTTTGTTTTAATCATTCTTTGTTCATATATAGAACAATAAATATTGTTAAGTAAAAAAATCTTACGTCAAAGAAAAATAAATATGGGTTATTTTATATATTTCAATTAGTTTTACAGTGAAGGATACTCAATTTGTTTTTCAATCCTATCAATAAATGTATTTTTATGGATAGAAGTTATAAGCTATTGTATTTTAAAATGAAAACTAGTGAGTTATACCTTCTACTTGCAAATTTATGCTTCATGAAAGATATTTCCTTATTTGAATGCCAACTATTTGTTATCTAATTAATTCATTTAAAATTTTACAATCATGTCCATGAATAGATGCTTAGATCTAAAAGGCAAAATTTACGAAATATATATTTCACAAAAAGTTATAGCTAGGGTAGTGTAATTGATTTTTTTATATATATATTAGAGAGTTAATTATTTGGCATTATAAAAGTTTAAATCTTTTGACATTGATCCCAAATCAAAATTTTTAAATTAGTAATTACCAACTCAACCTAACACTTGTTGATAGGCTATATTCATATAAGTAATATGTTGTCTTTGCTGGGATAAATTGATTTAATATATTTATTTTCTTGTTTATTTGTCAACAGCGGCAAGTCAACTTCTATTGTGAGTTCAATTCTATCCTTGTTGCTGAAAGTATGGAATGAATGGAATGTTAGGGTGATGGTTCTTTTGAGTCTATTTTTACAAATCATTCTCTCCGTCCTAGGCAGCAGCAGAAAATACAAAAATAATTTTTTCACTAGAATTGTTCTATGGCTTGCCTACCAAAGTGCAGATTGGGTTGCTATTGCTGCTTTGAGCAAGCTTCCCAGTTCCTATCCAGGATCTCCCACCAGCAACATTTTGAGATCATTTTGGGCTCCCTTACTCATATTACATCTTGGTGGTCCTGACACCATTACAACTTATGCCTATGAAGATAGCAAGCTCTGGCCTAAACACCTCCTCATCCTTGTTGCCAAAGTCGTTTTGGTTATTTATATCAATTTTTAGTCATGGACCCTTTCTCGGCTTTCATTTTTGACTCTCCCTCTCATCATAGCTGGAATTGCTAAACATTAGAGAGGATATTGTGTCTTAAGCTCATTAATTCACAAAAAACAAAACCAATCTTTTCCTTCTTTAATTTTGTTGATTTACAACCCAATTCTAATACGATTCAACCTACCTTTGAACCTTTATCAGGCAAAAACTTAGATGTTTTTGCAGCCCATTTGTTTTTTTCATTGATGAGACCAGATGTCAATAATTACCTATCCTATAGTCTTTCCACCGCCAAAACAAGGATAGAAACATATGTCAAGGAAAGTTATGAACTAGAAAGGAAAAAAGGCCGAACAATATTCCACGATGGAACTGGAAAATGACACAAAGATTCTTATTGGTTATATTTATCAACAATGGCAAGATCCTTTCAACTTCGTTACTGCTGAATTGGGGTTGATATTTGACTTTGTTTACACCAAGTCTGCTTTGATTTACACTAAGACAGGATGCTTCTTGCGCCTAACCAGCTTTGCTTGCTCTTAGTCGGTTCTGCTACTCTTCTTGATCAGCATCATGAACGAGTCGAAATTCCCTTTTCCCAAGAGTTAATATTTGCATAACGAGCATCTTGTTGGGTGGAGCTATTTCTCTGGAACTTTTTCAGCATGGGTGATGTTTTCTTCTGATTGGGCAATCCTTATTGCTATGCCCCATCATAATATGTTGGTACGCAAAATGTTTTGTGTCGTTTTAAAGCGCTGCCCTTGCTTTATGAATCAAACAAAAAGATGGTCAGATCACATGGAACAATTTGATTTGCTGAAGTACTGTTGGCATTACAAGAAAAAGGACGTGAACAAATCATGTGTTTGTCTACAAAAGATCACTATTTGTAGTGATCTTATTGAAAAGTGTCACAAATACATGAATACTAAGTTTGTAAAGGTGCCAGCTGATCTGCAGAAATTAAATGAGGTTTACCCTCCTGACTCATTAGTTTTCTTTTCTCATGAAAGCAATATAATGCACTAAAATCACCTTAATAAGTGTACTAGTTGCTCTAAATAATATAATGATGAGAAGAGTGTCGAATTCATGAAGATTGTGTCTAATCAAGTACCAAAACAATTAATCTAAATTTATTTGAACGATAAAAAAGGAGGAATTTTAATTAAAATAACAAAAAGAAACTAATAATTAAAATAAAACTAACTAAAATATGAGATATTAAAGCATGAACTTCACCATAATCAATCAATATAAATTTTGAATTACTAAATTGTTGAGTGTTATTGCATGTGATGGCGGATTTTCCTAAATTAATTAACTAGCTTTCTCAAGTCAAGCTAATTCTTCACATTTAAATTAATCATATTTCTAATAATTTTAAACAAACTAATGAGTATTAAATTCTATGGAACTTAAAAAGGGGGAACTACTAACTCTCTTCTCTTCCTCCACTACCACATATGAATTAATTATCTCTTGGTCTTATAGTCTAACACACAGTTTATATTATTATTGGTCTAATCTACGCAATTCTTTCTCAAGTTCATGCATAAATCACTAAATCAATTGAAAGATGATCAGGTTTCCAACGCATTAAGTTCAACAATATAAATTCCTCATGCGAATAACTTTAATTGAAAGCATAAAATCACAAAATCTATATTGAATTGATTAGGTTATATCGTAACCCTAATAGAATAAATTAGTTTATAATAAAAATAATAAAATCTGAAATCATAGTTATGAACATTCAAATATCAAACAATAAATAAAAATTTAAGGAAAAACAAAATCTAATTTGAGGAAATCGAACTCCTTGATTTTCTATTGTTGAGGAAACCTCTATTTTGATCTCCAATAATGCCCAAATAAGGGCTGCCACAAGCCTCCACCAAGCTCTCTTAATTCTTAATTTGGATGGGTATATATAAGGTTTTAGAAACCCTAATTAGAATAGAAGTAGGATTTGAAATAGAATAAAAAACTTGAATATTGGACGTTGAACGTATGGTGCTGACACTCCAAATTACGTATCGACACAAAACATGAAACAAAAAGTTTGATTTGATTCTGGACGATTAATGCGTGGTCTCGACACCCCAATTATCTATCAACACTACACTCGTGTCGAGTTTCTTGATTCCTTTTGCAATTTCTTCAATGGTAAAATGATTTATCTGTCCTCCAGCTTTTGTATAATGAGCACTTATATCCCAAAACTCAAGATTCATTCATTAAGGTCCCAAAGAAGTGCTCTTCTTCTTGCAATTCAGTCCCTCAACTTTCAAAAGATGTTCAATTAATCTCAAAAACTCTTCTTTTATGCATTCAAGTCCTTTTCTGCACAAAGAATGAAAATCATGTAAAATCTCATAAAATTCATCCAAATATCAATAATATCAAGACAAAAATTCCACATTAATATCTATATAAATTCAACTCATCACAATACCATTAAGACATCAAGGGGAGAAAGGGCACTAAAAGCACAACGCCAATATTATATGCTAAAATGGAGTGTTGAATCGGACTTCGACTATAGTATCATAGTATGGCACCTCGCCACGAGTGTTTGCTACCATCATGATGATTACCGAGGCCCTAAAGGTATCATGAAAATAGGTAAACGTGTATCAAATTACATGATGTATCTGCTGGTCATGCATCCTACCATGATTTTGCCCGAGGATGGTAAGAGCTTTTGGCTCGATCATACTTATGACAAGCTAGCTTAAAAAACTCTTCTCTGATGCAATTGATACAAAGGAAGCTTGTGAATTACTTTTAAAGTTGGATAATGAAGATCATGAAGCGAACCTTGAATCCAGGTTTGATGTTGTTTCCATCTTATATTCCTAGAATTAGAAATTAATTACGTAAATTTTCAAAAATATACTTTGTATTTTTTAAGCAGCAATTCAATATTGGACAGCCAGCGACAAGATGTGTGAAAATTAACTATAAGTTTAAACGAATTAGAAGATAAATGGGAGATGATAAAGGAGGTTTGGCTAGACATGCTTCTCTATGCAGCTTTTTCAAGCGGCAACATTAGCCATGTTAAGCAGTTGGGGGAAGGTGGGGAATTCCTCTCACTTCTTTGGCTTCTTGGTGGGATGCTCATTACTGCAAACACTGGTGGTTTTTTTCCTTCGTTAATATAAAAACCGGTGGTTAAATTTCAGAATTTCTCCTTTCATAACTATTACTTTTGATTATTGACAGATTTCTCAGTTTCTTCAATCTTTTCCATGTTATTTCAGTATTGGTATTGTTCCTTTGCTCTTTGTAAATCTTATCCTACTTGTATTCCACTCTGCTTGAGAAAAAGTTTGTTATGGACCTGTTGTATACACACCCTTAATAAAAGGCATAACTCAGATCATTGTGTTTCCTTCTCAATTTACATGGTATCAAAGCAGTGATAAAATTCTATTCAACTACAAAGAGTAATCAAAAGTCAAAATACCAATTCTTCCACTGTTAAAAACTTCAACTATTCATACTACCTTTTTTTTTTTTTTTAATACTACATACCACCTCCTTTAATAATCTTGGTAACTTTTTTGCGTGAAGATATTGTTTTAAATTTCTTTTTTTATAATTTAGATAGTATTATACTACAAAATAAAATTTGTTAAATAAAGGACAATTTTTAATATTAAAGAATATGTTTTTCATTTAATAATAAATATTATACAATTTAATACAATTTAAATTGTATAATATTTTTTCAATTGGTATTTTTCCTCTAGAACAATTATCTAATGTTATTTTTTTTTTTAACAAGTGGAAGGGTCGGTGGGTCTGTGTAATTAGGGACAAAACCATTTTTTTAGTGGTTAAATTGAGTTTGAAACACCTTATACACACTTCGAAATTAATTCTTTCTAGGCGCAATCGAAGGGTCAGCTGGTCATTCACCTAGCCGATCCACAATTTCATTTTGTGTTAAAAACAAGCCTAATCCATTATAAGTTCCAGTTGGAGTCAAACCCAATGAAGAATAAAGATCCAGTAAAGTGTAAAATCCTAAAAACTCAAATGGACCGAATTGAGGCTTTTCCCATTAGAGCCCATTAGAAAAACCCTAGATAAACCTCTGTACTTTTCTCCACACTGATTTCTTCTCGACCCAGACCAACCGGCGGCCAACACTATCTTTTCCGGCACCGAACCATCCAATTCCGGCTGTCCACCAAAACTTGCTGTCACCGAACTCTTATCTCTTATACTGAAGCTCTAGTCATCATTGTAGAGAATAGAGATGCCTTCAAAGGCAAAGAAGCAATCAAAGACACCTTCCCGGCCGTCAAGTTCCGATCCATCAGCTTCGCCACGAACACCGTTGGTGACTCCTTTGGCGTCAGAAGTTAGTGAAGAAGAACTCAGGCGCTTGCTTGAAGTGGCTTCGAGCCGGTATCCTTCTCTCATTGGGAAATCTGCTTTCATTGGGCGTGTCAATGATGTTGATTCAGAATCCAGAGGCTGTAAAATTTGGCTGTCGGAAGCTTCCATGGTCGCTGCTTCCCTTACACCCGGTTCCATTGTATCGGTAATTTATTGTCCTCGTCTTGATGTTGAATTGTCAAAACTTCCAACTTTTCTTAAATTTATGCTGCTGATTTATCCTTCTTATCTTGTTCTTAGGTCTCACTTGCTGTTTTGGACAATAAAATTTCAGACAGCTTCCCTCTTAGCTCATTTACAGATGATTTAGCAGACCAAACCAACACGGAACTGGGAAACTACTTTGCCTTGGCTGCAATTTTTCCTTCTTGTAAGGTCTGACTAATGTAATGCCCAAAAAGTTGCATATTAGTTTTATGGATTCTAACTGATTTAATGCTTATTAGTTTTATGGATTCTAACTCTAGTGTTACTGGGGATTGAAGTTTACATATTTTCATTTTTACCATTATCATTAGCAGTTTTTGTAACTCCTATTCTTTCCTTTCCAGGTTTTGAAAAATGGAGTGAGGTTATCTTCACACCTTTCATACACAATGGGTTGTCCTCCTTCTGGCAGAGTAGTGTTTGTTTACCCTGTTCAAAGTCAATTCATTACTGGTTCTGTAAATAGGAGTGAACAACCAGTTAATTGTGTCTCACTAAGGAGTTGCAAAAAACTGTATTTAGAGCTGGCTTCTATCAAGAATGCAGGCAGAAGTGGTGATGAGTTATCTAAAATGGACTTCTCTAATAGGAAAACTCATGATCAGTTTCAAGATGCTGTTTTATTTTCTCCCAAGACACCATTGTATCAGAAAAGGCTTAGTACTCCTAGCTCTGGTACATTAGCCTCCCCATTGCATCAAGGATCTGTGTCAAATTGCCTAAAATCAACTTCTCTTGATTCATTTGATGTTAAAGAGATATTACAAGATGAAAGTGCAAAGAGGCTTATTCAGACCAGTGCTGCTTCATGGTTGTATTCTCGTAGGCTACTCTGTGGAAATATTGTTTCCATCCCTATACTTACACAACTTTGCATTTTCCATGTCAAAGGTGCTGATATTAGCAATCAAGATTCAACAGATGAAATGTATTGTAGTTCATACCCACCATCTGTTGAATCAATGCACCATCAAATTAATGCTTTGGTTGTCGGCAGGGAGACAGAAGTATGCTTGCATTTATCATGGAATTCAGCAACTGAAACTCCCGAGGATAATAGAAGTTCAACGATGATGCAACTTCGTCATGATAATGTGAAACAACATATAGAACATGATATTATGAAGATGGGTGGCCTATCTAGAGAATATGAAGTTCTAAAGGAAATAATTATTTCCTCATTTATAAAGAATGCCTTGTCAAGGTATGCTGTATACTTCAGTCACTTGATTTTGAATATTTAAATGTCTTTTTAAGATGAAAATGCTGGATATATTGAAGTGTGAAGATTGTAGTTTATATCCAATTATATGTATATATATATATATGATCTTAAGGGCAGGTAGATGCATTTTTGCTACAGTTTCAACAATGGAAAGGGTGCAAAACCATAATTTCAATTTTTCTTTAAATAACTGTCATTCCCTTAAGTATCTTTTAGTCATCCCCAATCTATAACTTACTGTTATGTTATGGAGCTGGGCCTGGGTTATGCTGTATAATGTTGTGAGTGCTACAGCCATGGAGTTTGTGACTCAAAGGGGCATATATAATGGTAATGGTAATTTGAATATGCCATATCCTCTTATAATTTATGGAGAATTGATTTCACTTACTTTACGTTCTGTTGCTTGTACAATCATTACATAATGTCAGAGGTTTAGATTCCTGTAACACATTTGCACATAAACGCACTTTCTTTTGGTTTCACTATTGAAGTTTAGATGTGGATCACTGATGTGACTATTTTAGTTTTGGTTTACGAACTACAAAGGGAGTGCTTCTTCATGGTCCACCTGGCACGGGTAAGACCTCTTTGGCTAGGTTATGCATCTACAATGTTGGTGTCAATCTTTTCTCTGTGAATGGACCTGAGATTATTAGTCAGTATTATGGAGCAAGTGAGCAAGCATTGCATGAAGTTTTTGATTCAGCTACCAGAGCTGCACCTTCTGTGGTCAGATTCTCTCCAAAGTCCTTGATCCTCTTTATGTATTATCATTATCGTCCTGCTGTGGTTACACTTTATAGCAAACATAAACTAAAGAAATATTATAGACAGAATATCTGCTATAACAATCATGGAGCATTACTACATTAGTTATGGTTATTATTGCAGCAGCTGAATTCTATCACATTAAAAACTTTTACTTTTAACCATATATTCTGAACACGGAACTCTTAAATTTTTTTTTTTTTAATTTTTCTTTCTATTTTTGTCAAGTTGATTACTGTACTTTGAATCTTAGATATTCTGCCTTCAACAGCCCTGACAATTCAATTCTCTCCTCCTTTCTCTTAAGCTGGCTAACTATCAGTTTTTTGTATAGGTGTTTATTGATGAGTTGGATGCCATTGCCCCTGCACGGAAAGATGGAGGTGAAGAACTATCACAAAGAATGGTTGCTACTTTGTTGAATTTAATGGATGGAATTAGTAGAACTGACGGTGTACTTGTGATTGCCACTACCAACAGGCCAGATAGCATTGAACCTGCATTAAGACGGCCTGGAAGACTTGACAGAGAACTTGAGATTGGTAATACAATATGTTTTCTGTTCTGTTATTTAAAAGTACTGTTCTTCTTGGAAATATAAAAAATTTAAAAGAAAATGACATTCTGTTTTAGATTGTATGTATGATAATTGATAAGTTATCCTAGTGGAAATTGTTAAAGTGTTGGGGATTATTATCTTCTGTATGTTGTGTGGTCTTAAGAGTTAGACATTGTGAATTTCACAATGTTGTGAATTTTTATTTGGTTTCCCGCCCGGTATCCGAGGCTTTGCCCCGACTATTCCGGACTCAACCAGCTGTGGCGCACCAGAATGGTGGGTGGGTCTCCCAACGAAGGCTGCTGCGTACACAAGGTCTCGAACTCGAGATCTTGCTTAAGCTGGAACAAGCCGCTTGCCACTTGATCCAACCCCTTGTTGGTACAATGTTGTGAATTTATACATGCATAATGTGAGAATGTCCAGAGTGCAGAGGCAATGTCAAGTATTTACTCAGTTTGGATTTCAAAGTGAGAATGGAAAGGATATTGAGATTGATACTAAGGACATAAGAAGAGTGTTAGAAGATGTAGGCATGCAAAGGTATATGCATGATTGAAATTTTTTCCTGAATCCAACATAAATTCAGTATATTGAATCTATTTCAGTGGCTTGGCATAGAGATTTGTGTTAAATGATACTAGTATTACAATAGTGAATAAATTAATTAATATAACAAGTTTTATTAATTTCAAAAAATACATGTTAATAATTTCAGCGATCCAGTCCATCTAAAGTGCATTAAGTGAATGGAAGCATGTATTTGATCATACATGTAGTTGTTATTCTTTTGATGGGCCAAACCCCTTATTTGCACCCTAAACATTATTGTTTTCCACGGTCAACATCCTCCCGAATTTTCACTCCCAATCAACAACCTCAATTTGAAACCCATAAAAAACCCCAAATTACCAACCAAGTTAGGTTGCAAATAGAGGTTTGGTTGTTAACTTTTGGGTTTTTTACAGGTTTCAAATTACGGAGGGTGTTGACTGGAGTGAAAATTTGGAGGGTGTTGACCACTTAAAACAGTAATGTCCAAGGTGCAAATAAGGGGTTTGGCCTTTTTAGATTTGTAAATATTTACTTCCTTTTCTTGCCATTAAGTGGTTTAATGGCAATGTCAAAGAGTTCTTACTTTTCTTGAATAAGTACCTGTTCTTAGTTTGAAAACTCCATGCAGGTGTGCCATCTCCAAAGCAGCGGTTAGATATACTACATACTCTTCTCAGTGAAATGGATCATTGCCTTTCAGAGATGCAAGTACAACAACTTTCCATGACTACACATGGTTTTGTGGGTGCTGATCTAGCCTTGCTGTGCAATGAAGCAGCCCTTGTTTGCCTTAGGCGATATGCTGAGATTGCAGGTTCCTCTGATGGTTTGCATTCTTATGGAACTAGTGTTGCAAATGAGGATTGTCTAGACCATCAGGATGGATCTGACACTGGGAAGTATATAACTGACATCTCAAATGGGATCCCAGATTCTGCATCTTCTAAGGTTATAGGTCCACCTGCTTCAGCTATGATTCTACCATCATTCCTCTTGAGAGAAGAAATTGCATCAGAAATTACAGACAGCTTTCAGAATGTTGTTAGCACTAGTTCTGAAGCTAGGTCTTTCGTGGAAGAACTTTGCCCACTGAAAGTCACATTTGAAGATTTTGAGAAGGCCAGAATGAAAGTTAGACCTAGTGCAATGCGAGAGGTATTGCTACGTACTATCTTGGTTAGAAAAGCATTCTGGTCTTATGTTATGAATCCACAATCTCGTGGTCTTATCCTTTTCTCTTGCTTTGCAGGTAATTCTTGAGGTTCCAAGAGTTAATTGGGAAGATGTTGGCGGTCAAAGGGAGATCAAAAGTCAGTTGATTGAAGCAGTTCAGTGGCCTCAAAAACACCAGGATGCATTCAAAAGAATTGGTACTCGACCTCCAACAGGGGTGTTGTTGTTTGGTCCTCCTGGTTGTAGCAAAACCTTGATGGCACGTGCAGTGGCTTCTGAAGCTGGACTGAATTTCCTTGCTGTGAAGGGTCCAGAACTTTTCAGCAAATGGGTTGGTGAATCTGAGAAGGCTGTAAGATCTCTTTTTGCAAAGGCACGAGCCAATGCTCCATCGATAATATTTTTTGATGAAATTGACAGTCTTGCCATAATTCGTGGAAAGGAAAATGATGGGGTTTCGGTTTCTGATAGAGTTATGAGTCAACTTCTTGTTGAATTGGATGGTAAGTTTTTTTTATGAAATATGAGTTTTGCCTGACGTTTCACATATGATCCTGCATGGTTATATTTCTTCCATTTTCTCTTTTCCTTTTCTGTTTTATAAAACTATCTGTGGAGCTCTGCTGAAACCCACTGGACAGAAACATGTCAGTTATTGCATTTCTTTTGGCCTGAGAAGTTCCGTTAGGATATTACTATTTTGTTTGTCTGGATTATCATTAAAATCAGATTTGTTTTGGCCCTTAGTAGTTAAAAACTGTAACTGTACTTCAAGGTTCAAATTGTTGCTGATTTCAAATGATTACCTTTTTGATTTCAGGTTTGCATCAGAGAGTTGATGTTACAGTTATTGCTGCCACTAATCGACCAGACAAGATTGACCCAGCTCTTTTAAGACCAGGTCTCTCTCTCTCTCTCTCTCTCTCTCTCTCTCTCACACACACACACACACACACAAATTCAAAATGACATCTGCAATCATGCAAAAAACATCAAGAGATTTGCCCAAATGCAAAGGTTCACCTGCAATCATGCAACATGCACATACCCCCAAAAGTATCTCTTGCATAAATATGACAAATTCCAAAGAATTAATACTATCCATGCAGGACGTTTTGATCGGCTTTTATATGTGGGACCCCCGAATAAAAGTGATAGAGAAGACATATTCCATATCCATTTGCGTAAAATTCCTTGTAGCTCTGATGTCAACTTAAAGGAGCTTGCTTGTCTAACGGAAGGCTGTACCGGTGCTGATATATCATTGATTTGTCGGGAAGCAGCTATTGCAGCCCTTGAGGTTTGTGTGTTCCTATAATGTCTTTTCTGTTTTTTTTTTTTTTGGGATTTTGTTTACTCTTCATTATTGATTTATATACATTCTGTAATCAGGAAAGTCTTGATGCTAAGGAAATAACAATGCAAAACTTAAAGGCAGCTATTAAACACGTAAGGCCATCAGAGATTCAGTTGTATCAGGAGCTATCAGCCAAGTTTCAGAGGCTTGTGCAGTCTCATGCTGGAGAAGAAAAATTAGAAAATCAGCACTGCTCCAGTAGATCAAACTGGTTCACCATTTGGTAAACATTTGTTCTTTTGCTTCTCATTGATAGTTGGTAGTGTCATATTGATTCCTGATGTGCACCTAAAGTGTGCTACTTGACTAAGATGTTACTTTCTCACAATGTGTGGTGTGCATACCTGATTTGTTCTCTGATAACTGGATATTGTGTCTGTTCTTGTTGAGTTGCATGTTTGTGTGTAATGATTCAGGGTTCATGTTAGGAATTGACCATTTTACCTACACAATATTCTGGTGTTTTTAATGATTTGAGGGGTTTGTTAGGTAATTTGAAGATGAAACATTCAAGGATTTTAGAGGCAACCGGGGGCCTATTCTGGCCTTCTAGGCTGTGAACGATGTGCATGAACAATAAGGTTTTTGCCATTACAACTAATCAACTATAGGATCAATTAATGCAGATCTTAATTATGATTTTTAAGGCAAGGGTTATAGGATTTTGTGGTGGTTGGATTGAAAATTAGAGCGATTGCAGAAAATGCTGAAGAACAAAACTAGTTGATTGCTTCACATATTCTCAGTTGCATAATTGTTGAAAGAAAAGTTTTAAGTAACTTGCTCATGGTCATAGTTCTAAGAAACTACAATAGGACTTTAAGAGTAAAATATTGTCTAGCCCAAAGCCAGCAAAGACAAAATTACCAATATACCTCTGATTCTTAAAATCAAACCGAGCATATGGTAAACATTAAAGAAAGTGTGATGGGTTCGCTAATCCTAATTCCTGAAATGAATTATTCAAGCCCCCAGGTAAGCTTCTCATCATTGCACATGTGCCAAAATTAGGGTTTGGGTGTAAGAACCAGCTTTGGCATGCCTTTTATGATACAAACCTTTGGAGAGCAAGGAAGAGAATGTACAGACCATACAATGGATAGATAGTATGGGAATGAAGATGCAGGGAAAAACCAATGCTGTATTCCAAAAAACTATTCTCTAGGGTCCATCTAGTAGTGTTGCTATTTTTGGTTTTTGTTTTTATTTCTCTTATTTTTGCCAACCAATGGTCCAGCAATAAAGTATATTTAACATATTACTCTGTATGGTATTCATTGCCAAAAATAAAAGAAATAAAATCAACAACCAAAAACAGTAACGTTACTAAATGGGGCCCATAACATTTGGTTTCAGAGGAAGGTTTATAGGTCAGCTAACCAGCATTGTGTTGAAGAGTTGCAAATGTTAAGGGTCTGGCTGTGGGTGACCAGATTAATCTTTGGGTAGGTTGGCTGAGCTGAATCTGGTGCTTGCATTTCAAGTATGTTCTGCAGTTAAGAATGACAATGACAATGACAATAAAATAAGTTGTAAGTTGATCTTTATCTAGTTGGATACTAGGATATACATTAGGCAGTAGAATGACATTACTCTATTGTTAAGCTTTTTGGTTATTGTCGTAGAACTTGTTTCGCACTTTGCTTTGCCTATTTTTCTTATTACCATCACACTCAACCAGCAAAACTTTGGTGCTCAAATTGAGAGAGATTTATCATCCAACACTTCAAAGCATATTAGCTATGGTATTATGGTTGTCAGGTAGTAACATGGTACTTGCTGATGCAAATTCATTTGCTACTGGGTTATCCTGATGTCTACTGTGGATTCAGCTTCTATTTCCAAATAAGAAACTTAGATGTAGGATTTGCTTATTTGTTTTGTCTGTTTGCATCTTTCTTTTGGACATGTCTTGCATCCATATCTTGCTCCTAATCAACTGATTGAACCTTTTTCTTCTCTGCTACTTTGGATGCAGCAAGTCCCTGATAAAATCCGTCTCAGAGTTCTTTTATGGATTCCAAACAACTGATGCACACTCAAAGCCTGGTGTTAAAGGGTAACCCAAAATTCATGTTTGTGTTCTTGGCACATTGCTTTCACAAATGAGTCTGCTTTGGACATTTAGCTGTATACTCAATCCCTAACTTATTGAATATGAAAAAGTAACTACAGAAGTTGTCGGGCACTGAGATTTTAGAATTATGTTTTTCCTAGATGGATTAGTGGGCAGAGCACCATTCGCAACTTTGATATATACATAGGAATTGTTGTATAATGCAGCCACAATTTTTGACTGGAAAGAGTTTCATAAACGTGACAGTTTTTTATCTTTTTTTTTTTTTTAAATTAAATCATATACGAACATTTTGTGCTACCTTACTCGGATTCCTTAGGCCGCAACTGTACTCGGATTCTTTATGTTTTTCCTTACCATCTTGTGGCCTAATGATGCTTGGAATTAAATTTTAGAATAAAATTGTGAGACGAAACCTTTTTAATAATTAATTATGTTGGCTCATATGAAACTTACATGATAATTAATAGATATCATGAATTTGCTTTAAAAAATTTATCTTAACTATCATTATTTATTTTTTTAATTTTATATCACTTTCAATAATATTTAAGATGATTAATAATAATTTGCCATAATAAGTAAAAGTTCTAGTTAGATCAAACAAAATTTCCTTTGCTTATGTGAGGAAGACGACTTGCTAACTTTCTTAATTTACCTGAATTAATTTTTCTTTATTTTTATTTAGTATACCTTAAATTCCATGATTTTTTGATGTAGTCAACTTTCATGATTTTTAAGGCGTGTATGATTGGGTTTGGAAAACTCAAAGGATATTATTCCAAGAAGAGAAGTGAATCATGAAGGTTGCTGTCAATAAAAGTCATTTTTAGATGGGTACCAAACCAAGTTTACTTAATGTGTCTTTGTTGTGATAATAAACAAATAAAAAATTCTTTCATGAAAAAAGAAATAATAAATCTTGGCAGAAGGGTACATCAAACAATAATGATTGACATTAACTTCTGTTCATCCATAAGGCATCAGAGTAAAACATGCATTCCTCAAGCCCCAATACTTATCTTAAATTTCTATTTTAAAACAATAAAAAAAATTTAAATAAAATAAAATTTATTTTGTATTAAATTTATGGGTAAAAATATAAATAATTATATTGTCAAATATAATTATGTCATAATTATGGTATAAATCAAAGCCTATGTTGTCTAGGTATTGCGTGGTTTTGTTTTTTCCTCTGCCAAAATTCACTTTTGTCCTTCCATTTGGAATTCTCCTTTTGTATTAGATTCCAAGTCATATGATCTCTTTCTCTAGCTTTCTAGCCATCACTTGCCCTTGACTATAAATTAATGACCTGTCGACTAAAAAATCTAGGGTTTTTGCTCCTTTTTTTTTTTTTTCTTTTCTTTTTTTAAATTATAGTTGTATAATAAAATATAATTTATTTGTTTTACTTTTAATTCATTTTACTTATATGTTATGTATCTAAAATTTACAATTTATTATTTTCTCTTGAAAGAAATTATCACCAAATTACTTATTTAGATTACTGACAAAAAAAACCTAA